CAGAATCCGATTACACGACAAGCGTATTACGACAAACCAGATCTGATCGCTCGAGTCTCACGTTCGTGAGGAATTTGTCGGAATTTTTCACCACGTCGCTTGATACAAATCAAAATCTACGCGCGCGTTTTAATTTAACTGATGCTATACAGAAAAACTCAAATTGCGCGCTTACTCGGCAAAACTGTGATTGCGAACACGCCCTTTGGTCGCAAGAATATCGGGGGGGTATAACGGAGAATAAACGGAGCAGTCAGCTCCCCTGCGCCTATATTTCGAGTAGTTATTATTACTGTAATCGCGCTTCGCGACCGGTTAAGACGATCAGCAGAGCATTAAGTTGCGATATCGTCAGTGTGTTAAAGAAACGAAACAGATGTGATCGTGAATTCAGACGACATGTACTTTACCGAATAAACTCAAGTTTTTACGTAAAAAAAATAATATTGTACGTATTAAAAATTTACACAAAAAATTATGCACATTTTTTATGTAAACAAATTATATGTATTAAACGTTGACAATATTTAGAGTAGAACAGATAATAAATAAACTTTGCAATCGTCTTGCGAATTGACTGAATGAAATCTTACGGTGTGTAAAAGTAAAAATTCCTTAAATCATTCTTCTCTGGCGAGACGCGAAACTCTCGTAATTGTGCTCATTATCGCAGCGGCACATCTGAGCGTAATCTCGAGTATAATTGCGGACACCTGACGAGAGCAAGTTTTCAGCAAGGACGATTGCGCATTTAGTGTGCTACGCGCTATGATAATTAAGAAAATTGTTGTGTGGCAGACTCGCAAAACGCATATTATCCGTTTTAATTCATCGCGTGAGTTTGAATTACAATTATTGTGATTTTATTATTATTTTTTTTTTTTTTTTATCGAAAGGAATTATTGCAAGAATTTTATAAAAGTTTCTTTCGCAAAAAATTTGTTATTTAATGATTAAATAATTTTACGATTTAATTCACCGTCTGAAAAATTTGCAAATTAAAGTTACGTCAATGAAACACTTTCTGTCGTATTCAAATTCTCTCTCGTGCCACGTTATTTTATAACGTAAGTAAATGCGATGCCGGTAACTAGTTTCGATAGTCCCGTCAGATTGAAAAATGTTACCGGGAACATATTATCGTCAGAAATAAATTGGAACGCGATATATTTTGCAAAAGACACGCTATATGCATTCAAATCCTTCGTGACGACGGGCGTGATGATTCAGCAGCGCATAATTCGAGGCCGACAAAATCAAGTTCATTCGAAGAGAACCGCGACTCCATTACACGATCGTGAGTTAGATTTAGGTGGATCTTGCAAATAAGTCTGCACTGTGCACTTGCCATTTCGTTTCCTGAGTCGTAAAGTACGTTCTCGAAGCGAACAAGAGAGAGAGAGAGAAAGAGAGAGAAGATTGAACGCGGAAAACGGGGAGACGCGAGGAAGAAGTCGCGCGCGCGCGAGCGCAGAGGAACGAGAGAAGAAATGACCGAAGATAGAGGAGGAAGAGAGATTGGTCGTGGGGAAAACGATACAGCGTCGTATTTTCTGCCCGTTCATGCGGAATCGGCATGTCGTTGGATATCGTTCGCGACCTTCCTCTCGTCCTCCTGCTCCATGCAGAAGCCCTGGGTTGGGTTAACGGTGTACCGTGTCGATGTCTGTTTTCTTCTTCGGTTCGCGGAGCAAGGATGCTTTGGCGTCACACATTCGGACCTTTTACGGCGCGCGCGTTAAATCGTCAGAATATATATCGATAGGAAAAACGATATGTAACAACAGCGATGCGCGCTGCCGCTGCGCTTGCAAAAGAAGCCATTAATTATGCGGCGGCGGGAGCGACGACTGTATCTCGCGAATATGTGCACCAGCGAGGAGATAATTTCCGATATTAGTCCACGAGAGGATAGCGCGTCGTAATCTCCATAGCGAAAAAGAATTCCGCGCGCGGCGTGTTCCCTGTGTGTGCGAATGGCGCAATAAAATTAGGCTACCATACATAATACGTCCCGAGGCGCGCCACCGACAGACGGGACTCCCATACCTTCGCATTATCCCCGCGGTAATTCTCGGGTACGCGAAACGCATTAGTCATTTTCGCGTAGGGTGAAGGGATGGGGGAGTAGAAAGGGAGAAAAGAAGAGAAGGAGAAGAGAGGGCTGACTTATATTCATCCACCTCTAATCCCCCCTTGATGATCAAAGATCCCCGACTGTTGGCGGCGACCGTGGCCGCGGCAACAACGACCACCGCCACCATTGCGCCGCAGTTTCTTCTGCGCCGCCGCGCGCCGTGGGATAATACAGAAACGATCCGTGCACTTCCGACGAGCGATTCACGTTTTCCGCGGCGCGGCTACTTGGGAGGCGAGCCGGTTGAATTAACTTAAACCCCTAGCGCCTCGTGTGGTTCGTCGCGCGCGCGGCCTCCGCGTGCTCTCGCCTCTGTGCGCACTTGGCGTGTACGCGCATACATGTAGACGTGCGTACGCTCCAATGCGTTCGTGCGTTGCGTGCATCTGACGCGTCGCAGGTGTAAAAGTGTACGTGCACACCTGAGTTGTGTGTCGCGCGCGCGTGGAACGCGTTGCTCGTCCCTCGCGGTGGCAGCGGCCGCGCGAGAGAACCCACTGGACAGGAGTAATAAAGCAACAAAACAATGACGGTGATTTACGCGGTCCTACGGCAAATGGGCTTACCCGTAGATTTTTGCGCAGGCAGCACGCGCGTCGGCGCGAGTGAAAGGTGGAGAGGCGCGATTTATTAATCTCGCCCATGCGACACGCACGCAGATGCGACTCGGGGACTCGGGTGGTTCGACGCGCGGCGATACGAGAGAAAGAAAGAGAGAGAGACCAGGTGCTAGCCGGGGGGATTATTTATTTAGCGCAGAAACGCGCGCGTATATCCACCGAGTTCTTCGCGAACACAAGACGGAGGACGTATAATTAGAATATTTTCCGTGCGCGCGCGTCCGACGTTACTTTTTTCAGAAATCGAAATATTTTCTTCGACTTTCTACAAATATTTGAGAAATAACATCTTTAATATTCGAGGTAAAGTTATATTCTCGTTATCTGTTTTTGTTTCATCGTTGTGTGAATTTTTGCTCAATTAATGTATTTTTTTTTTTTTTTTTTTTGTACGTGTTACATCAACATCGAACTTACGTAATGGCAGAAATTGTAGTTTTTTCACGCATGATGAGTTATACTCTTTGTTTGTGTCTATCGTTACCTACAGCAAACTCTCTCAAGAAGACTTTGTCGTCGAGCATGGCGAGCGTAGATCACATTAGCCACGGTCGCACGCTATTCGCAGATGCTACCAGCAAAAGCAATCGGCGACAACCACGCAGTCACGCAGCAATTGCGTCGGAAAAATGCGTATATCGAAAAGCTTCGTGTCAATTCGCACTTATCTGGCAATATCGATCATGGCTTCAGCAGATAATATATTGAGAAAAAGTGGTCGATTTAATCTCCGCGTCGTGCTCGCACACCACCGTGCATGCGAGCTCGAGGATGCACGGTGCAACTCGCGCGCAATTCATCATGCGCGCACTGTCCACATAGTTACCCGCCTGTGTGCTCTCGAATACACGTTCACAGACTCGCGCACCACCGTGATATCGATTATTTCTCTTTCTGATCATTAAACGTTCGAGTGTCGATGTGTCATTAGAGTAATGTTAAAAAAAAAATGGTTGTAATTGGAATTTCAAATACAACAAACAAAAATGTCTGCAGATTTAAAAATCAATTATCTGGCACTTGATATTGCAAAAATATAAAAGTGGTATAAATACGTATTGTTTCATATTACAATCTCTAAACAATTGCGATAAAAGAATTATATCGCAGGTGGTTTATTGGTCGTGATGTTTTTGTGGCGACACATCATTGTGTTTATAAATGAGCTTTTTTCTCGACCGCGATTGCCACGAGCAACTAACCTCGCGCATAAAAGCGAAGGCAACATTATCACAACATGGAGCAACACAAATGTTTAAATCTGCGCATAAGCCGGCAAGAGTGAGACACACCACGCACCGGACTTAAACTATACTCGTTACGCGGCTATTATTAATATACGCGATGTATCTGCCACGTGGATCGTCGGCGATATTTGTGCGTTAGTTAAGCCTGCCAACGCCTACAGGAAGGCCGACGTACCCGTAAAGAAGGCCAGACGCGACAGAGTTAATTAACGTAATTGTTAGTACCGAGATGAGTGCGACGAATAATTCTTCCGTCCGCGCGCGTAATGTAAGCTACCGCGCGGAAAATTCGCTTCTAGAATTATTGTGTCGTAAACTTGTAACGGATACCGTCGTTTTGCTTCATAGGGCGGATGCGATATCGCGTTTTTTTCTCTTTATCCTCGTCTTCTTATTCTTATTCTCGCAGCATTGGATGACCGCAACGACGCGTTACACGAAGTCCTTCACGTGTACTAGTCACTTCGTTCTGACTTTAATACCCGTAATTAAATGTCATTTATACAAAATGTTCTCTTGAATGTTGAAATGTTTTTTTAATTAATTTATTATATCAAAGTTTTTAATCACATTAATTTATTATATCAAAGTTTTTAATCGCATTATTGTATGTTAATTATTTCTATTTCCACAGTAAGTGAAACTCAGAGTTTTGAGAAATTTATGTGACCTTCAAACGCTTATACAACAAGATCTGAAGCAAAAATAATGAAAATTAATGAAATAATTAATGACTAATAATTAAGATTACCTTAGTCGAGAGAAGAAAATAATTTAAATATTGAATATAAAAAAAGTAGTTTTAAATAATTTATGCAAAATATCACTCATAAGTATCTTGTATGTGTTGTCGCATTAATGCGGTACAATGTAGCTGATGTTTTGTTTACTGACATTGCACAATTTCTTATATTTGTTTTTGTGTCGTCCATGTGGTGGTATAAAACATCTGTATAAATATAGACGCTAGGTGGTACCGCGTTTCAGTTCTAAAGTTGCAAGAAAATATAACAGTTTGTTACCGTATATGCGTGCGTATATATAATATAAAATCTATTGTGTAGAAAGATATGATGTGCAAGATGTTACTAAACGTGTCTCTTTATGCATTGTCAGTGTATTTCGTGACGCAATTAGTCCACGGTCAATCATCATGCTCCTGTAAATATGTGTTTTTATTTGTTTTGTTCATATTACTTAACGTCACGCAAACAAAACCAAATAATCTGATATTTGATGCTTTCGCGATGTGTTGTATTAACATTCGAAGATGTTTTTCGGGTTTGAACCGCGTTAGTGTCATTTTTTCAGGCTGCTCTTGAAACCCTGATGAAATGTTGACGAAACGTCGGTATAACTACTAATACTACCTAACCAGGTAGTATTACTAGCAATAAGAGTAACGTTGCATAACACGTAATTTTTGTTATAGGTAACTTACCGGATTCCGATTTTGCGACCGGCGTCAATCTTGTATATTACAAATGGTTTGTGCTTGTGATAAAAGTAATAGAATCGACGAATATTGATAACATTATAACAAATATGCGTTTTTATTTAGCAATAAAGAAATTCCTGCGACAATCGCCTATCCGATTACGGCACCGCAAGGTCTGTTAAAAGTTCTAGAAAAAAAACGAACGATTTTTTATGCGTTCGGATATTTGGAACAACCGGAAGACGATAATGTTCAAATAATAATTCGAGGTATTGTGCCACTTAACAGAAAAAAAAAATTAGTAATTATCAATTAACTAATTAGTCAGAGATTGATGACACAAATTGATACTGCATTAGCACTCTGTTACGAAAGAACGGACAACGTGGTGTTACTTGATTGGAGCAAATATTCAAAAGGATTTTATCCAGAAGTCTTTCAAAAAGCTGAAAACGTAGGAAGATTAATGGCTCGCAGTTTACAATTGCTCAAAGATAACGGTTTTGATACATCGACGATTTATCTCATCGGACACTCCCTAGGTGCTCATTTAGTTGGCTTCGCCGGCAAATGCAACAATTTTAGTATACCTCGCATCACAGGTGCGCAACTCCACTACTGATTTATAAAATTTTACAAATAAAATAATTCTGTATGTAAAAATTATTAGGATTGGATCCTGCCAATTCTATTTTTTATATTCCTGGATGTTACCTCACGCCTAGAGATGCGACGTGGGTCGATATTATTCACACGGACATAGGTAAATGGGGTACCTTTCAATCTTTAGGAACAGCGGAATTTTATGCAAACAGTGGCTTTCGTCCTCAACCTGGTTGTCCAATTGTGGAAATACCTTTCACCAAAGATGGTAATAAGATTTAAAAAATATGTAATCTAATTGTGTTATATTAGGAGTAAACATATCTTTCTATAAATAGATATTTATACTTAAATACTTTATTGAATGTTAAGTTTTTGCAAATCGTTGAGTTCGCCTTAAATCAGAATCTAAAAGATAAACTTACAATGCTCTAATTATAATTTTTACGTTATCACCAGGGCTCTGCAGTCATCAAAAATCCGTCGCACTATACGCAGAATCGAAATATGGCAGCAAAAATTTAATTGCAATACAATGTACTTCTTACACGGCGTATAATGAACATTTGTGCGATGGTAATCTACGTACGGGTATTGGATATGCAGCATCGAACGTGTAAGATAAAAAACCATTCATACTTTATTACGTGGCGTGCAAAGCAACAAAACGAAGAACGAGTTTTATAATACTAACTACTATGTTTTTCTTGAATATTTTGCAGAACCGGATCGTTCTTTTTTACTACAACCTCGTAATTTTCCTTTGCATAAAGGTTAATTGAATCGGAAAGTATGAAAATTATTTAACAAGTTGACCAAAAACAAAAGACTAATTCGTAAAAAAAAACATAACAATTTGTTGTATTTGTGACAGCTTATCTGAATAAATCTATGTGATACATTATCTGACGAGTTTAATGAATGGTTTTCTTTCAGCATCAATATTAGTATTGTCATCAGCTTCAATCAGCTTCAATCATTTTCGCGCGACATTATCACGATAACTTCATAAAGAGATTACTTTGTTGCGTGTTTGTAAAACATAAATAATTAACAAGTCGTTTTTCTACGTTAAAGAGAAGCGTAACGCGTATGCCTAACTGCAATACAAAAAAAAAAAGAATCGAATTATCGGATTCTGGTTGAATCAATCAATCGGTCGACGATAATGAGGCAAAATGAGATCGTTAGTTTGTCTCATTCGTGTAATATACGTCGACAGAAAAGTACCGGCGGTTCCGTTTGGACGAGCGTGACATAATCTATAGCTCGACCACGAGACAGCCGCAGGCAACGAAGCTACTACCTCTTACGAGACACCCTCGCATTTATGTTAATGACGGGTCCAATTTCGTGCCAGATCGTAAAGCGGAACACACGATCTCGACGATCGGCAGATAATCACTTGAGCCGAGGCGGCGTTTCTGCGTCTTCGAAGAAGCACACCTTATCTCCAAGTTTTTTTTTTTATCAAACTCTTCTCTTTTTTAATGGGAAGTGACAGTTGACAATAAATACGACGATCTTTACGCGATAAAACTAGAAAAATATTTATGCATGTCCGTTACAATATTTATTATTCATCTTCGTCGCCATTTTTAAATAAAAATGCATACTTGTATACAAGTTATATTCACCTCAGCAGGAGATAATTTATTATACACATACGCGAATACTTAATATATATATAATGCAAGTATAGTTATAATTAGTGTAATTACTTTCCGCGTTGTGCGCGATCTCGCCAACCGGTCGCTAAATCTGATACGCAATACGTCGTAGTAAATATACTCCGGTGCTTTCTCTCTCTCTCTCTCTCTCTCTCTCTCTCTCTCTCTCTCTCTCTTTTCAGCAAAGGATATCGCCGCGCGCTAATCCCGGCTTAATGAGTGCTCTAATGGGGGGACTTTGATTGCCGGCAGGTGACGAGCAGTAGAACCAAACGAATCCATAAAATGAGTCGCGGTGGCTCTGAAACGCCAAACAGCGTTCTGCCTCCGTGTATGATTTACACAGTGGAACAAAGTGCGGATCCCCGTATTAATTTTGCGCGATCACTTTTATGTCACCGTGATATATCATCTCCTGCGCGAGAAACGCATTCCAACGGAATGTAAACAAGTGCCCGCCGCTGTTTCTCGGTTGTTTAATCGGCATGTATCAAAAGATACTCGACCGATTATTATCAATACAGTCGTTTCACCTGAATTAGATTTAAATTGTCGTTTCTCAATATAGTGACAAGACTGATAGTTGCAATACAAAATGCAAATATTGCACTGATGCAGCTTTCGAAAGACTGCGCTCTCTTACGAAGAGTAAAAGTGACGTCGGCTTCCCCCCCGAATATTCCACGCACGCATTGAAAACAAATAGCGTGTGTCTACATTCTTGTCCGGCGCGATGAAATCGTTCAGCGCCCTTTGTTTCGGATTCACAAATGGCACTTCCGCCCACACGTATAGCGCGCACACGCGTCTGGGAGGAGCTACGAACTAATTTGACCGGCTGACGCACGAGCGGCCGATTATAATTTCATATCGAACGCCGAGATCGGTCATGAATAATTGATACAGATTGTTTTCCATCTCCGATACCTCCATCGACCGTACCTCCTATCACGTCTCGCTCACATTCCACAGACTTCTTGAGATACCCCGAAGGATATCGATAATCGCAAATGAGCGTCGTGTTATGTGATTGATAAATAATAAATAAATCTATAAATATATTACATGTAAGCACGAGTTAAAATCACGGAAGACATATACGTGACGTGACAAATGCAACGATATCGATAATAAATAATTCCCCGAAGGCCTCGTTAAAACGCTATCAAGTATTGAGCCGACCGTATTGAAAAATAAAAATCCATTTCAGCCCGATAAATTGTTGCTTTTATCTTTTCGGATACTTATCAATCGACTCTCGTATTACATTTAAAAGAATGTCGGCCTGTGATTAATTGATTTGCTTAATGCTTAAGTCTTGTTGCTGAAGTTTTTCTGTGTGTTCTCGGTTTTTTAAACAATTCTCGTTGTCCGAGAAGTTTTACCGTGTCCATTCTCTATCAATCTACCAATTACTCGTTTGATACGAGCAGCACGCATCTCTCGTCTTTATTCCATCTCTTTCTTTCTCGTCTTGCCCGCGCGCGCGAGCTTTTCTTTTTTCATATTTTTATCCGGCTTTCTCGCGATCTCGCCGCGCAAACGGTTCTCGCCGCGAGCGTCGCGTGCAACAACACGTAAACTGCATCATTGTAAAGCGGAATTTCATTTAAAGAGAGCGGCGCGCGGCACACGGAAGCGGAGCACGACACGCAACAAAAAAGCCGAGCAAGTGTAGAAACCGGCTGCGTAATTTCCATTCGCACTTGCGGACCCCCGCGTGCGTTTAATCGCATTCCATATCATTTCTCATCAAGCGGGCGGACGCGAACCGGAGGCCAGCCGGTAACTTCGAAGACTCAGAAGTCGCGACCGAACGCGCGTTCTTTTTGATTTTAGTATCATTGGCGGCAAATTAAAAGCTGGCCCTTAAAGACACCGACCAAATGAGATTGCGTGTGCACGGTGCGTTGCACACGCAAACGAATTTCTAAAGTCGATGAAGCGCGTGCTTGGTGTGCAAAACGCGAAACGCGGTCCCAGCCACCGCTCGGCAAAACGCCCGCGGCGTTTATATTCTCGACCGGTGCAACTCTAAATGCGGTTGTCCGATTCTCGCCTTGTTAACTTCGAGCCTCCCATCTCCGTTTCCGACGAATAAAATCAGACTTAGCGCTAAACGCGCGGCTAAGTAGAAATGGCAGTGCCTCGTTTCTCTCTCTTAAACGATGAGATAAAACGAGAGAACATTTCCAACATTCTACTCTTGCAATTAGTTTTTTGTTTTTTGTTTTGTTTTTTTTTTTATCTCGGTTTGCACTTTAAACAAGATTATGATTTACATGCTAATTATTTTAAAGAAAAAGTTAATTAATTAATTAATTCTGAAAAATGACGACCTTCGAGATGACAGGAATATGACAGAATAAAGGTCGAATTTTCTTTTTCATTGTGCCCGTCTCGTAATGAAGATCGTGTCGAACATCTGTTATAACAAGCGTCGCTCGATATATCACACGTTGCACAAAGATCCCCCCCCTCGTGATTTATTACACATTATGCCCGCGCATTATCGGACTGCGCATCGCGCGGCGCCTCACATGACGTCCATCAAGGTGCGATAATTAAAAAGAAGGGAGGTTTAAATCCGACTCGACGTACGCGAGATCGGCCATCTGCTTTGCGCGATTAGAACGAGATTGGTGTAAGTCATGCTTACTATGAAAATTTTGTTCGAAGCGTGGCAGAGTTGCGTTAACGATCGTGTTTGTAACTTCGCGTCAACACTTATTTCCAACAATTGAAACGGTCACGAGTCAAACGAGCTTTTGATAAAGAAATTTTCAAGCAAACTATATATTGCAGTTTGTTCGTTGTAAGCCAACATTTTTGAATATCTTGCTAAGTGAGTTAAAAAGTGTGGTTTTTTTTTTCATAAAATCTAATAAAAAAATTTAAGTTAAATTTAAGTCTCATCTCTGTATAATTATGTTAAGATAAAAACCGAAATCCGTCCACTGATTGCCGAAATAACGACGTTGTTCTTTGTACAGTTCGAACTTGCAGCTCATGCGATTCGAAATGGTTCGATGTTATCCGTTCTGGAGCGATACAGCTGTAGCTGCGCGTGGTCGTCATCGGCGTAATCGCCGGTTTGATCATCGCAAGAGACGCATAGAAAGCAAGTGAGAAAGAGAGAGAAAAAGAGCGAGAACGCGTTCTCCATTGCGCTGCACGACAATGCACTTCGGCTCTGATGCGCCTACCGCCGCGACTCGAGAGTTGAACGAGTTGTAACCTAAGGAGAAAAAGAGAGAGAGAGACTGGCCTCTCCTCTCTAGAGGGCATATTTCTTTGATCTCGATTTTTGTCCCGCCTTGCCACCCCTTTTACCCCGTTTCTCCTGCGGAGAACTCAAGACCGGTTAATCCAGATTAACTTTGAGCTCGAGCACGTAGGTATACGCATACGCGCCAGTGTGTACATATTGATAGAGGGAGGGAAAGAGAGAGAGAAAGAGTGAGAAAGGAGTATACGGGGTAAAAATTTCACGCGCGTCTAGACAGCTTCTCGCGGTACTTCCACTCTCTCGAGGGAAGTCCTTTCTTATGGTCCCCTTCACAAGGCCGTGATTTTAATCGCGTTTAATTATTCAGGAAGACCGTCAGGATTACAGTACGAGAGAGTTGCATCTCTTTGACTATTTTATATCATTTCTATAATACAATACTTCAATAAGTTATTTAATTATATTACTCGCACGCGCGGATAAGTTAGAATTATTTTGTCATTTGAAAAAAGAGTTAAAAATGCAATTGGCGTGAAAGAGACTATTTCTCTATATTTAGCAAATCGATTTTGTGAATCGCTCACGGACGCGTCAATTGTTTTCTGTCCATGACCTGAGATTCGCGAGTCGAACACTAACGTAACGAACTGAATGCGTTGTAACGAGAACGCACGTGTGCAGAACGCGAGAGGATACTTAGGTGCGCAGGTCCTTGGGAAGTCGGTAACGCGATTACGCGAGATCCCGGGCGAGATCCGATCTCGAGACGACGGGATTAAAGGCAATCGCGAGGCGATCGAGCACCGCCATTGGGTAATAAATGCGGCACATAATGAACCGCCTTTATCTAGCGGACCCGCTGAAAGCCGCCGCCGTTCGTGAATGTAAATTTATTCTCCGTGCGTATAACACTGTTGCGTTTTACCCCGAAGGATAAGCGCGGGCACACGGCGGAATCTCGTTACACACACCGTATGCGCCGAACGGAAAACTTGTTGCTCTCAAATTTTCTTGCGCGTAGTATCGCCCAAGGTTTTCGCCACGAACCGTAACGAAATACGTATCTGATTAATTCCGTGACTGATGTTCGGCGCGTATCACGGACGAAACAACATGCGATAACTTAATTTTATTAATCGCAAAATAATTTATTTCTTGACGTGTAATTGGATTATTGATGTACTTGACATCAATTGCTGGCAATTCAACGCTACACAAAGAAATTGACGTAATAATGTTGGAAATGTTATTCCACAGAAATGCATTTTATAGACACGTGAATCTAGACACGCATAATCGAGGCGCATGATCGAGTGTTGACACATTGAAAATTTGTTAAACTTTCGTTATCTACAGCATCTCGGTGCGTAATCGCGAGCTCTCGCTGCGCAAGAATAACAGACGCGAGCGCATAAAAGGACACGCGCATCTGTCAGTGTACCGGCCGTGTGTCCCAGCTTGAAACGAGCCCTAGAAGCGCGCATAATTTAGTCGCACTGATATGCATTCATTCGCGAGACACACGCTACTTCTCATGGTGGAACAACGAGCCTGTTCAGGATCACCATCTACGGATAAACGACTGGCGAGGCAATGTAGCTCTCTCGGACTCACCGACGGTCACCAAAACCTGTCCGACACTCCGAGTGACTTCGACATTTTTCACGGATCGTCCTCGATATACCGACCCACGCGCAGCGCACGTCCAATTCTCTCTCAAAGTGGACCTTTTCCAAGGTCAGTGACGTGCGCGCGCGGACCCGTGAGCGCCGTGACGAAGTGCACTTTGTTGCGAAAGCACTTGCGAACGTCGCGCACGTCGCGTGACGTTTTGACATCGTGACGCAAATGCAACCTCCGGCTCGCGCGATGCAATTTTTTACGACCTTTTCGTTCAAGAAGAAAAAAAGTTGTGTCATTTCGTGTATGTAGAGTCAACTTAACGGTCGGATGAGAATCGTTAGTGACACGTCCTATTAAGAAAGCGCGTGGCCTTTTTATCTCATCTGGATTTTTATTTCTATTTTATTTACGCGTACTTATGTATGAATTCATAAAATAAATTTTACGTATATATATATTTCCTCCTTATTTATACTTCGACTGTCGCTGTTGCGTAAAAAATGATCTTGATCTTTCATAGATATGTACTTGCAATTGACATTTGCATATCATATAAACGAAGAGGAAACGCCCGTACCTTCAGTCAATTACGAGCGAACAGATGAAATATATGACTGAAATCAGCCGACACGTTAAGCCGAGCTAACCGTTGCCTGAACGCAATTTCGAGTTCGCGTTCGCGCGATTATGCAAATCCGCGACACGCGCGCAACGGGGTCGGATCGCGCGCGCATTCTCGCTCGTTGATTAAATTATGATCTGGTACGCACACGTACGTCTTGCGCGTACGGCGGATGTGCCGGAGAGATCGTTGCCGCTGCACTTCGCGAGAGCGCGCGGGATGAACGAGACGTTAATTAAATCCAAATGCGATTCGGATTTGCGCGTCCGGCCGCGAATGCGAGGTGTGTAAGATGGCGTCTGTCGGAGCGCGAGAGATGCGCTCTGTATAAGGCGTCGTTCTCGATATTAATGATGGCAACGCACATCGCTAAGTAATGAACACATGCGCGCGACCTGTCCCGCCCACGTGCGCCAACGTTATATACTCTCGTGCCGGATTTGCATAGCGAAGTCGTGATCGCCGCTGCTGAATAAGGGTTCATCAGTCGACTTTGAGTAAAGATTCTGCGTGATTTCGCACTGTTGACTCACTGGACCAAACAAATGACAATTAAGAAAATTTAGATATGTTCGTGTTATATGTATATAATATTTATTATTTCACTTGAATAGAAATAAAAACGGAACTGGCTAGTTTTTCTGGTCAATAATATTAACTACAAGTCGCTAACTTTGGTAGACGCTTGTTTGATCTGTAACTGTGAAACTAACCAATTTCTGTGTTAAGTTTTTAGATAAAAATAATTGGTTAATTTCTCAACAGGTTTTATCAATTTTAGTCAGTTATCGTGTTTTGTTCTGGTATTCAATTATATGGTACTGACTTTTTATGAAAAGTTCACTATTATGTTACGTTTTTTTATTACACAACAACATGTGTGTATATACGTATATATAAAAAGAAAACTTAATCGCGTGATGTATTACGAGCTATGTCGGTACATATACTCTTTCTGTGAGCAGTACGTAGTACGTCACTATATCACAGAGATAGCGCTACAAATGTATTACTTTTGCAGCCTACTGATAGGCAAAAGGTAATACAAATATGTATAACAAGTAATGTTATTTGAGGCTTCTGTTAACAAAACTGCACTCATCATTTAATTCTCTTTTTTTTCTTACAACAAATTCTTTTCTAAAGATCTCATAATAACTTTCTATGTCTGTAGAAGTTCATGTGAGTGAGTATTTAATGTAATTAATTTCAAATAAACTCATTTATAATACTTCATTTAAACAGACGTTTTCTATCTCATTATGTATAAAGAACAGTAACATATATGTACAATAATTTCAAAATAATAAACACATTCTAATCTCTGTGACCAGTTTTTTTCCAAATTTCTACGTCAAAGTGCGTGATAAATTTTATTAGAGAAATTTTCAAAAAACTTTTGTTTATATAAAGAAATTAAATAGTATAAAATACACAAAAGCGGAAAAAATTCACTCTACGAGTACGAAGAACGGAATTGTATAGAACTAGGATATATAAAAACAAAGATGACATAGTAAGATATACCTTTCTTGTGCTAATTCGACTAATTAGTGGCGGAATAAAGATAGTGGAATATGACAAGAATAGTTTTGACCTTCTCAATTTTTATGGTACAATTTTTCTCAGTATTCTAGTCACGTATTGTATATTTTTATAACGAGATTATGTGAGAAAACATTGTTATCGCCGTTTTGTTGAAGTAGTTATCGGTATTATTTATAACATTGTCATATGTTCGTTATTATATGCAAGAAACATCTGTGAATACAATTACTCATAAAATAATTAAATCTGACATGTCCAAAAGGTAATAAACAGTCTCGCATATATGTATTGATGAACGTGGTATCACGAGATAAGACAAAAATTTTTTAGAAACAAAAAATACTTTTTAAATCTTTAATATTAAAGTTATTAAATCTGAGTATAAGAAATATATTAAAGTACTAATACTTATGCAAAACAAAACTACAAGAATTCAAATTAGAAAAGACTATTAACTCTGAAACATAGCTCGTATAAAATTTAGTAGCATAATATCGTTTCTTATTAAAAAAGACTCGAATTTATATATATATATGTACATGTATCTATTTATATATATTTCTGTCAAGCTTTCTTTTATTTTTAAATTTACAATCACTTATTTTTCTTATAGATTGGTCAAAAGGTGGAAGAGATAAAAAAAAAAAAAGTGGAACGTTTGTGATAATAAAACGTGCACGTCAAGAACTGTTTTGTAACGTCTTTAGAATACTTAGTACGAGAGATAACATGCAATCTGCAATAAAAAAAACTCTCCAAGACGTAAGAAACTTTAGTACATAACTTTGTCACGTTCGTATTCCTAAAGATACAGATTTCTTGTCTATATAAGCGAGAGCAAGAAATAATTTCATTTAAGACTATACGGACGCGCAAGTGGTGAAGTGCATTTAACGGTGACATTTCCAGTTACTATAGTAAAATAAAAAATGTTACATCTAAGAATTTGTGTTATAATGTTCATGGCTCTGATTGGGACTATTTTATCAAAGGTAACGCAAATTTCCCTTAAGTTATTTACGTAAAAGATGTTCACAGATTTAAATATTAATAAGTTTACAATCGCGCACATAATTAAAAAACACATGATTAAAAAATAAAGTATACTAGATATAAAAAAATCATTCGCATATTATTTAAGGAGCAACACGCCGAATTGTATCAATATCATGATAGTTTGCGTGCCCATGCTTCATGGACCGGAAGATTTGGTTTCTATTACTTTGATGAGCTACGTAAACGATTTTGTCATTCGTTTTGCAATCCTGCAGATATAGATCACATGTCATATTTTGCAAAACTCATGTGTGCTGCAAAGTGTCCCGAATTGTATTTACCGCATGGTACAAGTACACCAAGTAAGTATTACCTACACGTTCCCATCACTCTTACTTTTACAAAACATAAAAAACATCAAGAAAAACCATTTATAGCAAACAAAGAAATATTTAAAACATTTACTTCTTCGATTAATTGCCTTTCTTTAATATTCCGAAAATCAGAGATAATCGATTATTTATTTTTTATAGATATAATTGATATTAACATCTAATATATGTATACGAGGGTCGACTGAAAAGTTTTGAGCCTCAACATGAAGATGGTATTACTCGTCAAAATCATTCTGGTACTACAATTGTACATGTTTTAAGAGATACATGTGAAAATTATATCCATTTTGGACGCTCAGTTGTTGTTTGACAATCATTTGTGTCAGTCGATGTCAGTGGTTTTGTAAAACTAAATACGCTGATACGACCACGTTTAAATTCAACCGCTCATCTTTTCACGGTAACAAAGGATGGGGCAGAGTCCCTGTAAACAGCGTCTAACTTGGGTTTAATTTGCGCAGGCGTAAAAATTTAATCACAGCACGATATTCAATTTTTTCCATTTTTACAAAACCACTGATATCGACTGACACAAATCTCTATCAAACTACAACTGAGCGTCCAAAATGGCTATAATTTTCACAAGTATCTCTTAAAGCATGTACGATTGTAGTATCAGAATGGTTTTGACGAGTAATACTATCTTCATGTTGAGGCTCAAAACTTTTCAGTCGACCCATTCATAATTAAATTTTCATAAAACATAATCAATATACATAATATATGTAAATATTTTAGTTTTAAAACTTAAGAAAATTTTAATTAATTAACGTAATATATTTAATTTTTCTAATTAGGTGCAGAATCAACCACAGAATCCACCACGAAAATCACAACTATAGCTATTTCTAATACAACTGTACCACTAAATCAATCTACAACTATGCATCCTAGTATTCCAACTATACCTCCTACTAATGCTAGTACTTCTAATACTACTAATACTGCTACTACACAAACTACATTAACTACTACATAAACAAAATCAATCTCTCTTATAATCATAATTATAAAAGAATAGAATTATGATTAAATAATGTTATCCAAACTACAAATTTCTGAAAACATTATGCTATATGTCTATAAATACATTATTACATGTTTACCAAATATAATATAAACATAATCATCAAAACCGCATCAATATTCTCGGTGGTGCACATTGGAACTACGAAGACAATGTCCATGATTCTGTTCAGTCGGTCACATCTGGTTCTGTTTTATGTTATACACGTAACACGTATAATTGTTTTTATATAAATATAACTGTTTGTTTGTACAATTGTATTCATTATATATATTTATCTAAATGCTTGTGTAACATTTATATAAGCGTTAAATACACTTATCATTGATACGTTTTGGACATATACCACGAAATAAAATCAAAAACCGAGACTTTAAACTATTACATAAAAGCATTTTGTTAGATCGATCTATAACCAAACTTAACATTATCTATATGAAATACAGATTAGATTGCTTAGATCGTTAAACTAAACAAAATATTAGATTTTGTCACAGTGATATGAAATGAAGAGGTAAAAGATGAGAATGTATACGAGAATATAAAGTATTCATAATAAACTATAGTAATTAGTGAATCTCTTCTTTTTTCTTGTAATATAAGTTTTTTTGCAGAAGGTGAAGACTACTCTCTTACCTTCCAACCCTTCTCCTTTCATCAATGTAGAAAATAAGACCTTGCTCTCGTTGTGAAAGTAACATCAGGCATCCTATTACGGGAAGCTTGCGTCCTCTCACTTTCTGCGTACACACACACTGTTGGCGAATTACAATAAATAAGGTTTATCACCGTAAAAGGCGAGCTGATAATCCTAGTATTAGCATAAAAAAAAACGTAAACTACTTTTCTCATTCTTTATCATTAGACGTCATGCTATACTGTTTGTATATGTAAATATTTTTATAAGTACATATATATATATATATTATTATTCTATATTAATAATAAAATTATTTAATGTGTTTTATTTATCTATATATTAATTTTAGTTTATTTTGTAACCGTTGCTTATAAATATATATATGCATCACGCGTATAAAAATTGCTTTGTTTTAAATGTATATAATTAAATTTTATATCTGATTGCAAACTATAAGCAATTAAATGTTTAATAGAATTACGGACGCTAAAATGCCTTAAACTGTGCAATCAATCAATCTTGATTCGAGCTTATGAGTCACTCTTAGAAATGAGCTCTTAACATATGGAGCAACAAGCGTACCAGGATACAGTGATGCAGGATACAGACTAGTCTCGACTGTAGTGTGAATCACGACGACCGGCGCGCGAAAGAATGGAAATACTGGAGTACAATACAATGGAAATGTGTTGCAGAATATTGCCTAAAGAATAAAGATACGATGTCGCATATATAAATAGTATTTACAAACCCACGCTTGACAGAAGCTTCCTGAACAATATAAATTTTTATTACAGCCTCGTATTTTATAGCTAAAGATAACATTATATACGTAATAAAATTTAACTGTTTTACTTCAATTAGGCAAAGAGAAAGAGATCGAGAATATATAATGGTGAGACGCGCTACACGCAAAGATTTATAGCTCGTGTGATTTAGTTTAATCAGTTAGAGTCTCGCAACTATTCGGGTTAAGTCGGAAAACTAGGTCGGAACACGCAACAGCACATGAGCCAAATATCTCTCGTTCGTTCTCCGTTTAAATATCCCGGCGTTGCCAATCTACTTGGATTCCTATCGATCAAATCGTGGATAATGACGTTCTGTTTCATCGTCTTTGATGAAGAAGATGCGAGAGAAAGCTTGAATTGGGAATCGTATGTGAAAGCGTTCGCGGAACGATCTGACGGACTGACTGTGCATAATTTTATGAATGCAGAAATAAAATAGATAGATCAAGTGTACGTTAAAATCTTCTTTATCTCTTCCTTTCTTGTTATCTCTCGATACATAAGTACAAGTTGTGCACAATTTGATTGGTATTCAACCGCAAGTTTAAAAGAGAGAGAGAGAGAGAGAGAGAAAGAAAGAGAAAGGAAAGAATTGAGAATAATCGGTTCTCTCTGGTTTGAACTAGATCAATTCACATGTCTAATGACCTGCCTGCAGACGCACAATTCATCTGGGTGTTAGGGAAAACACGGTTCCTTCATAGAAGCGCGATCGCGCGCAAGTAACATCGCAAGATGCGAGATTGCGCAGAGCGCGTGCGACGAGCGAAAGTCGATCCCTTGCATACGAGTCAGAATGCGGTTCTCTACGCAGAGTTTGATCAGGGTCGGTCAGTCGGCATACTACATCGTCGATCAGAAAGACTGTGATCAGATTAGATCGCGCGGAATTAACGGGAACGAGCACCGCGAGACGTGCCGCTCTCTCTCTCTCTCTTTTCCTCTGTATAATAACTGAAAAACACAGCTGCAAAGTAATGCTGTGTATGCAACTCGCCGTTCAATCACTAAATTCATCTTCAAAGAAGTATTAAAAAACAAAATATAAATGTGTGTATTTTTTATACTTTAGAAATTTAACTAAAGTGTTACATAAAACTAATATTTCGCGTTATTCTATGTTGGATAATAGAATTATAATTTATATGCGACGCAATCACGTAACATAATTACAGGTTTTGCTCCCACGCGATTTGTAGGTATTATATGTTGTAATAATATATATTCGATATTTTATGTAATTATATCACATTAAAAGAGAGACAGCGTGTGTAACATACGGATGTGTAAGATTTTATATCAACTTTTTAATATACCGATTTCGGCGAAAAGTAGATATTGTAAGGAAATTCACACGTTGCGATAATTTATATCAAAACGTGACGGTATCACAAGAGAAGCTATCAGACATCTCTTCTCGCATCTTTCAGTTTCCCATGGTTGCCGCGAGGAATATTGAGAAATAATTGATATAGTAGCAGGTAGTTGTAAAATGCGAGCGTGATCAGATGAAATCGTGTATAGAATTAACGGGAGCGGTAGAACACACACACACACACACACACACACACGTTATTCGCCCGCGATGAGAAGAAAATCAATAAGATGCGTGTAACTTCGTTGCTTTCTATTGTCTTCAATAATTATTAGTTTGTTTTGTTTCACATCGTAAATTTGCTTATTTCGCACTCAATAATCCCTTTATTCAGTAATCTGCATGTATCAAAACGTTTGCTTTCAAGTAATTTTGGCTTTCAATTAATTTTAATCGTAGATTTCCGAGATTTCTCTTTTCATCATCATACGTATCATGAAACATTTCTTTTTTTTTTTTCCGCGTCTGAATGCTTTCGTGACTTTATCTGTGGCTTTTGTCCCGATTTGCATACGTTAGAATAAGTTACCGCTCTCGCATACGCAAGAAAGTAACTGCGCTGTAGGCGGCATTCCACTTTTCCAAGCATCATTGCATTATGCTCACCGCCTTGCGTGAGATTTACATAACTGTTTTAAGTGTACCGCTGTTCCTTCTAAGAAGGGCCAATGTAATTAACATCGCGGATTGTGTCTTCTCGCGTGCGTAAATAAGATGCATTTTTGAAGATAATTAATTAAAAGATAATTAATCTTTACATCTGTGAGAATCGCATGCACAATTGTATTGTTACATTGTTTTATCTCTTGATAACCGTAAATGTTACAAACAACAATGTTGTTGTACGTAGAAAACAGAAATATGTTAAACTATTATTGTCACATCTCATAAAGCAATAAATTAATATTTAGACAGTATTCTTTTTTTAAATATAAAATTTAAAAACGATTCTGCGTCGATCTGAACAACAAATTGAAAAAATCTCTAGTAGTTTCTGCGCGCCATAACCTACTAAATCGCTATAAATTTATATTTTGAAAATGATAAAAAAGTCAATTTTTTACTATATTAGAAGTCCACAAACTGAAAAAAAATTACTTTTCGACTTGCCAACTTGTTCAGACTTGAGTTTTTCAGATTCTTTTCGCACTTCAAAATTCAAACTTCGCAAAGCTATTAAACGAAAGACGCTGTCAACAATTTCTACCATTGTCTAAGGTTTGCCCAGAGTTTTATTCATGGTCTTCAGAGAGAGAAATGTCGCGCTAAATTAATACCTAGTAAAGACACTGGTTTAAAACTTTTAGATGGATCTCGGAGATCCATATCTGGCTCTGAGAAGTTAAATATGTAATACGTATATAAGCGATCGTAAATAATTATATCGTAATAATTATGTCGTATATCATCTTTGTTGCTGCGTTTCGATTTTATACAGGTAACATGTTAGGTGCGCACTGTTTATAACCACTCGTGGAACCATAAAACCGTTTGGTTAACGAATTGAAAGCCGCAAAAAAAAAACAAGAGATATTATAAAATCATAGCGTACAAGGACATATGTAATTGCTCGATTGCATTCGTAATGACCTGACTTTGGACGGCTTCGCAATGAGAAACACGCAAAATACAGGCTCACGAAGGCAAGGCAGAAGAAAGATCATGAAAGAAGAGAATTATTATTATTCGAGTTGCAATCACGGGGAATGCCAAGGTTTCACCCTCTCCGGATTTTATACCGCCTCGGGTAAATCTGTTTCTTGTTATTCTTGTAACGTCATTAGACTTTTCGCGAATCGTCGACATCGCAAATGATTGATGTTATAACAAGCGATTGTGTAATAAGTGTATGCAAATTTTGAGAAAAATTAGAGTGCGTATTGTGCAAAAAGAGCTTGAAACAACATTGACGTCGAATGACAGCTGTCATTTACATAGCGTACAGTACAAATTCAGTTACACGGATAAGGGCTTTGAGAGATAGAGAACGAATTTCACTGCGTATTAAATTCATCATTTTTCTCTGTCAAGCAAACCTCACTTTATTTACGATATCGTAATTATGCGCGTGTATTTTCTGTGTAACCGTGGCACGGTTTAACAACCAACAAGAGCACAAAGATTTATCAAATAAAAACGTGTAACACCGTAAGGTGTAAATATAAAATACTTGTCAACATATAATGCAGTTTATATGACTACAAGAAATTGTGGTAAACGTAAAAGTTCTTTCGGTGGATTATGTCATCGAGGGTAGAGATGGCGTCATCATTCATTATGCATTAATCACACAGAATAAAATTGTGCGATTATTCTGTTTATTATTCGGCTTCACTCGTTTAATGTAAATTGCGCAAAAGAATAAAAAAATATTCGTCTTTATTTATATCTATTTCACGATATGCACCAACAGAGCAATTTCTTAAGGAGATCGAAAAATTTACAAAGGAGATCGAAAAATTTAAAATATTTGATGCATTAATTACATATATTTAAATCTTATGACTTTCTCTTACCTCACATGCTGAAAGTAGGACTCGTAATCTTGTGTGTATCACATTATTACCTATTATATCCACCATTACCTGAGTTACATGCATCAGATATGCATGCGTTTCAGACGCCCGTATGTACATCGCCGCTACGTTAAAACTCATTGAACGTACATACGGTGTGCTCACTCGCGCGTGAGATTCGTTCAGCTCTGTGCGAACCTATACAACCACTTATTTATTTATGTAAGTATGCGCCCTGTTCAACTGTTACTATTT